GCGCTGCTAGCACCTAGACAGCTTCAAATTTGTTGCCTTTGATCTGTGCACGTCAAACTCGGTTATACGCATTCTTCAGCCGACGACCCTCGTACGCATCATTACTGTCCCCTTCAAGAGTCTCCTTGTCCTCAAGGACAAAATCTGGAAATTGAACCCGCATATCTTGTGGATTTTCCCAAGTCGATTCTTCTTCCGGCAATTCATCCCATTTGATCAAAACTTCCCAATGGAATCGACCCGCTTTCTTAACCCTTCGGTAATCCAATGCACATTTTGGACGTACAATCATAGTTCCTTCGAAAGTCACCACCGACAGTCTATTTTGAACGCCTTGACCTCCATTCAAGCTCTTCTTCAATTGGGACACATGAATTACCGGGTGAATTTGAGCTTCATTCGGTAGATCAAGTCGATAAGACACTTCACCTACACCTTCTACAATTTGATATGGCCCGTAGAAACTTCTCAATTTGAATAAAGGCTTTAGAGAGATTGTCTGTTGACGATAGTATCGAAGCTTCATGTAGACCCAATTACCCAGTTGGAATCGCTGCTCTCGTCTTCCATTATCATAGTACTCTTTCATCTGATTGATCGATCCGTATAAGTTGCTTTTGAGCTCTCGGATCATAAGGTCTCGCTCTGTTAGCTCACGATCCACCTCATCATTTGGTGACTTTCCCAATGGATAATTGACCAAGGTATGAGCCATTCGTCCATAAACCAACTCAAAAGGAGTAAACTTAGCAGAGGCATGATAAGTTATGTTATACCAAAATTCAACCCACGACAAAAATCCTTCCCACTTTCTCGGAAAATCATGAACATAGTATCTGAGATATTGTTCAAGGATGCGATTGGTTACCTCTGTTTGCCCGTAGTTTGAGCATGATCTGCTGCTCATAGACAATTTAGTGCCCTACATTTTGAAAAACTCCTTCCAAAAGCTACTCATAAATATTCGATCCCTATCCGATATAATGGACCGGGGAACTCCATGCAACTTCACCACATACTCAACAAACAATTTAGCTATGGATTAGCCGTATATGGATGAGTTAAAGGAATGAAATGTGCATACTTGTTAAGACGATCCACGACCACCATAATCCCGTTGAATCCATTAGACATCGTAAGTCCTTCAATGAAGTCCATTGTTATACCTTCCCATAGTCTCTCGGGTACCGATAAAGGTTGTAAGAACCCAACTGGTTGTCTGGAATCCGACTTCACTCTTTGGCAAACGTCACACTTTGCTACGAACTCCCGAACTTCACTCTTTACCCCCGACCAATATAAGGTATTTGATAGACTTGCCCACGTACAATAAACTCCTGAGTGTCCACCAATCTTGGCTTCGTGAAAATAATGCACAATCTCACGTCTCAAGTGGTCAGTTTCCGGTACATAAACTCGACCTTTGTATAGTAACAAGCCGCCATAGACATCATAATCTTGAACCTCCTCCTCTTGAGCTACCATTTTCCTACGAGCATCATTTCAAAAAGCATCTTGGGTATTTGTCTCTCATAATTGATCCTATATAGCCCATGTTGATCCAGAAATGGCTTGAAGTTCTGCCACGTCGGTCCGACGAGATAATGCATCCGCCATCGCATTTTGTCGACCCCGTCTATAACAAATCTCAAAGTCAAATCCCATGAGCTTTGATACGAACCTTTTGTGCCGGAGTTACTATTCGTTGCTCCAACAAATGCTTAAGTGGTTGTTGGTCTGTCACAATTCAAAAATGTCGACCCAAAAGATAAGGCCTCTAAACCCGGACCGCTTCTACCACAGCTAGCAACTCTTTTACGTAGTCCGACCATCCTACTCGTGCACTCCCCAAGGCCTTGCTCATGTAAGCAATTGGTCGATCTTCTTGTAGGGACTGCTCTAGTTCCAACATCACTGGCATTCGTATGTACTTCAAACATTGCATCAAAGTTGGGCATTGGTAATACCGGAGTCGTTGACATAGTCACCCTTAATCTTTTCGATGCTTCCTCACTCTTAGCCGACCATTTAATCCTCCTTTTTTCGTCATCTCGGCCAATGGCTTAGCAATCGATCTGAAGTCCTTGAAAATCTCTCGATAGTGTCCAGTTAAACCCAAGAATCCCCGTAGTTCTGTCAAGTTCTTCGGTTTAGGCCATTCTAGCATCGCCTCAATTTTCTTTGAATTCACTATAACCCCTTCAAAAGATATGATGTGACCCAAATAATCCATCAATTCTTGGCCAGAAGAACATTTCAAAGGTTTTATCTAAAAATCATTCTTCTTTGCTTTTTGGCAAATGTCACACTTTGCTACGAACTCCCGAACTTCACTCTTTACCCCCGACCAATATAAGGTATTTGATAGACTTGCCCACGTACGATAAACTCCTGAGTGTCCATCAATATTGGCTTCGTGAAAATATTGCATAATCTCACGTCTCAACTGGTCAGTTTTCGGTACATACACCCGACCTTTGCATAGTAACAAGCCGCCATCGACATCATAATCTTGAACCTCCTCCTCTTGAGCTTCCATTTTCTTGCAAACATCATCACAAAAAGATCTTGGGTATTTGCCTCTCATAATTGATCCTATATAGACCGTGTTGATCCAGAAATGGCTTGAAGTTCTGCCACGTCAGTCCCACGAGATAATGCATCTGCCATCGCGTTTTGTCGACCCCGTCTATAATAAATCTCAAAGTCAAATCTCATGAGCTTTGACACGTACTTTTGTTGCACCGGAGTTACTATTCGTTGCTCCAACAAATGCTTAAGTGGTTGTTGGTCTGTTACAATTCAAAAATGTCGGCCCAAAAGATAAGTCCTCCAAACCCGGACCGCTTCTACCACAACTAGAAATTTTTTTACGTAGTCCGACCATCCTACTCGTGCACTCCCCAAGGCCTTGGTCATGTAAGCAATTGGTCGATCTTCTTGTAAGGACTGCTCCAATTCCCACATCACTGGCATTCGTATGTACTTCAAACATCGCATCAAAGTTAGGCATTGCCAATACCGGAGTTGTTGACATAGTCACCCTTAAGCTTTTCGAATGCTTCCTCACTCTTAGCCGACCATTTAAATCTTTCTTTTTTCGTCATCTCGGTCAATGGCTTAGCAATCGATCTGGAGTCCTTGACAAACTTTCGATAGTGTCCAGTTAACCCCAAGAATCCCCATAGTTCTGTCAAGTTCTTCGGTTTAGGCCATTCTAGCATCACCTCAATTTTCTTTGAATCCACTCTAACCACTTCAAAAGATATGATTTGACCTAAATAATCCACCGATTCTTGGCTAAAAGAACATTTCAAAGGTTTTATGTGAAAATCATTCTTCTTGGCTCTTCAGCAAATGTCACACTTTGCTACTAACTCCCGAACTTCACTCTTTACCCCCGACTAATATAAGGTATTTGATAGACTTGCTCACGTACGATAAACTCCTGAGTGTCCACCAATCTTGGCTTCATGAAAATATTGCACAATCTCACGTCTCAAGTGGTCAGTTTCCGGTACATACACTCGACCTTTGTATAGTAACAAGCCGCTATAGACATCATAATCTTGAACCTCCTTCTCTTGAGTTTCCATTTTCCTACGAGCATCATTTCAAAAAGCATCTTGGGTATTTGCCTCTCAAATTGATCCCATATAGCCCATGTTGATCCAGAAATGGCTTGAAGTTCTGCCACGCCGGTCCGACAAGATAATGCATCCGCCATCGCGTTTTGTCGACACCGTCTATAACAAATCTCAAAGTCAAATCCCATGAGCTTTGACACTAACTTTTGTTGCGCCAGAGTTACTATTCGTTGCTCCAACAAATGCTTAAGTGGTTGTTGGTCTGTCACAATTCAAAAATGTCGGCCCAAAAGATAAGGCCTCTAAACCCGGACCGCTTGTACCACAGCTAGCAATTCTTTTACGTAGTCCGACCATCCTACTCGTGCACTCCCCAAGGCCTTGCTCATGTAAGCAATTGGTCGATCTTCTTGTAAGGACTACTCCAATTCCCACATCACCGGCATTCGTATGTACTTCAAACATTGCATCAAAGTTAGGCATTGCCAATACCGGAGTCGTTGACATAGTCACCCTTAAGCTTTTCAAATGCTTTCTCACTCTTAGCCGACCATTTAAATCCTTCTTTTTTCGTCATCTCGGTCAATGGCTTAGCAATCGATCTAAAGTCCTTGACCAACTTTCGATATTGTCCAGTTAACCCCAAGAATCCCCGTAGTTCTGTCAAGTTCTTCGGTTTAGGCCATTCTAGCATCGCCTCAATTTTCTTTGAATCCACTCTAACCCCTTCAAAAGATATGATGTGACCCAAATAATCCACCGATTCTTGGCCAAAAGAACATTTCAAAGGTTTTATCTGAAAATCATTCTTCTTCAAAATATTCAAGACCACTTTCAAATGTCTCACATGTTCTTCCCAATTCTTCAAATATACTAATATATCATCGAAGAACACCAACACAAATTTTCGCACGTAGTCTGAAATATCAAATTCATAGCAAACTGAAAAGTGGACGGTGAATTACATTAACCAAAAGGCATTACCAAATATTCATAATGCCCTTTGATGAGTACGGAATGTCGTCTTGTGAATGTCCTCTTCTGCCACTCGTATCTGGTAATATCTAGCTCGTATATCTAATTTGGGAAAATAACAGGACCCCACCAACTCATCCAACATGTCATCAATGTCGGGATTAAAAAAACGATCATTTATGGTAGCCGCATTGAGAGCCCGATAATCGGTGCAAAACCTCCGCGTTTCATCCTTCTTCTTTTCAAGTAGTACCGGTTAAGAAAAAGGGCTCGTACTATGGCTGATTTATCCTGACTCAAGCATTTCACGAACTTGCTTCTCAATATCGGTTTTCTGAAAATGATCATACCAATAAGGATGTACATGTACCGCTTTTGTTTCATCCAACAAAGGAATGCGATGATCGAACTCTCTTCTTGGTGGTAGACTTTCTAGATCAGCCTTAACCTCCTCGAATTGTTGAAGCAACTCGTCAATCTCTCGCTGATGTGTTTGCTCCATATCTACGTCCTCTAGTTTATCAACTCTAACTGCAAATATTTGGCTTCCTTTCCTCCACAATTTCTCCAAATTTTGAAATCTGACCTCTTTTATTCCTCCATTAACCCCGGTTGACAACCTAACTAGTCCATCACCCAAACAAAATTCCATAGTTCCCACCTTATAGTCCGTAGTAACCGGACCCAATCCCTCCAACCATTGAACTCCCAAAACCACATCCGGACCTACCAAAGGTAGTGCATACAAGTCGGCCTTTTAGGTGACCCCTTGCATTTTAATCGGCACACCCCCATAGAACTTTGAACATTTTAATCTCTCCCCATTAGCAACCCTCACTTCAAATGGCTCAACTTTTGTGACATGCAATTTTAACTTATCGGACAACGACAAATTAATAAAGTTATGAGACGAACCGTTTGCGATAAGAAAAGTTACACGTCGATCACGAACCCAAGCTGGCATCTTCATAGTTTTAGGTCCTTGAGTCCCCGCCATTTCATGGACCGATATCTCAGGATCCTCCTCATGAAAATCAACTTCACTCTTCGATTCATCCTCCACTAGTTCATCTTCATCGGACCCAACACATTCAATAAAAAATGATCGTCTTTTTTTGCACCGATGACCTGGTGTGAACCTCTCATCACAAATAAAACACAAGCCTTTCTTCCTCAGCCATTGTATCTCTTCCCATGATAAATGTTTAACCCTCGAAGAAATGTTTTTTCCATTGTAGTTCGATGTATTGACTCTCGTCCTTTGCACATTATAAGGAAAAGTTGTCGGTCGCCTCACTTCCTGTTGATTGACCCTACGTAGGGCTGTCAAGTGATCATCACGCATTCAAGCGGCTTCCATGGCTGCACGCATGATTCTTGGTTTGTCTAGCCTCACCTCAGCTTCCAAATAGGGCTTCAATCCACCAATGAATGTACCAACAAGTGCTCCCTCCGCCCAATCCTCGACTTGCAATTCTTTCAAACTCCTTTTGGTATTCTCGTAAGCTTCCCATTTGTTTGATATGTGAAAGAGCTTCATCGTAGTTATGATAATCTGACACTCTAAATCAAATAATCATTTATTTTTCGATGTTCTTCCAACGAATCCATTTGTCATCCTTTTTGTATACCCTCGATAGCCATTGCCACCACACATTCGCTTCTCCGCCGAGATAATAAGCAGCATATTTCACTCTTTCCGACTTGGGTATCTCGTTAATCTCAAAGTATTGATAAGCACGATTTAACCACGAATCAAGATCCGTACCATTAAAGTAGGAAACATCAACTTTGGTATTTCAACTCGTTTCCTTCCATGATGGTTTGAACTCCTTGATCGGTTGTCTTCTCGACTGCAATATCGTTCCAGTTTTCATGATCCTCATCAGATTCGGCTGAACCCTCGAAAGAAGATTCCTAACTGTTACCTCTCCTAGCCCGTCATCCAACGGTTTGAAGCACCATCCTCTCGAGTCTTGCCATCGTCTGGTTCGTGTATTGGATTTCTTCGCTCATTGCGCGCATGCTCTCCTCCCAATTATTCATCCTCTCGCGATTCGTCGTCATGATACATGATTAGTAACTCTCAATAAAAGCAGGGATGTTACGAATCGTGTATCGAATTGAGTATCTTGTATCAAAACCCGCGCTACGGCCTTGATTTTGACATGGATTGGTGCTCAAAAACGAGCTTTTTCTGAGATATTTGATAAAATGCTAAAAAGATAGTTCATACATTTCTGAAAACAACATAAAAAATAACCCTACCAAATTACCCAATCTCAATTGAAAACGAAAAGAAAACTGAAAGTGAAACTGCTCCCGCCCAAACTCTAGCGTCGCTAACCCCTGTAACGCATAACTATTGTCGCCCGCTAGGGGGATAGCAGCGTTAGTCTGCCGCTCGTTCTTGGACCTTAGCGGCGCTAGGGGGGCTAGCGGCGCTAGCACCTGGACAACTTTCATTTTGTTGTCCTTTGATCCGTGCACGTCGAGCTCGGTTATACGCATTCTTCAGCCAACGACCCTCGTACGCATCACTTTGCTAGGGCTTTTCAGATTTGAAGGAAAATGCGGACCTTCTTTGTTTTTTTCTTTTTCCAAACAACAATTATATTAATTGTTAGATATGTAATGTGTACTCTTGTATTACAGGGTTTAGGCCTAACTTAAGATTAAAGTCCATCTTTTGTATCTATATATATGTGTATATATCTTTATGAACATACATTAGATAATTTTTCCAAACTCTTACATGGTATCAGACTAGGGTTATGGTCAAAGTAGGCTTGGTTCTCATCGCTCGTCCCCAACCATTTCTCACACACATTACCTCCGCCATCCTCTCTGGCATCTCGAGGCGAATCATTGCTGAAATTTTAAGCCCAATCGGCGACACAAGTGAAGCTCACGCGCCACCTCTCCGTCATGGCATTGTGACATTTGGTCGACGCGTGTGAACCACCTCCACCTTTGTTCGCCGCTGTCTTTTATCCGTCGACTCTTGTCATCGTTGGCTACATTCTGCTCCTCGAGAGAAAGTGATCGAAGTGTCGAAGGTCATGTTTGTTTGTTAGTTCTTATATCAAGAAAAAAGAAAGAGCGGGGCTAGGGTTTTTCTTAGTAGGGCTTGACGAAGAAGAAGAAGAATATAAAAATAAAAATACATAAGGTAAAAAGAAGTCAGAACGTACCCATGAAGCGAGAGGAAGATGTCGAGAGATCGCTAGAATAAGATCACCAAAAATTCAGAATTGAGAGGGAGATTTTTCACTGAGAGAAATTGAGTAGGCAAAAAACAAAATAAGCTACAAGGGAGTGAGAGGAGGGATTTTTATAGCCCTAGATAAGTTGCCACTGGGAAATATAAGACCGTTGGAAAAATACAAGACTCAAGAATCTCTCAAGAATTCAGTTAGGCGCATCCACGTATGTAGTGTATGTGTCAGAATACAAGATCTAAGCATATACAAAGTATCTTTATGGTGCCTCATGCTCTCCTGGGATGTTTGGTACATTTAATAAGAGAAGAAGGCCAGATACAAAATTTTGGACATGAAGTCAATTTCAGCACAAATCTGGATAACTCGTTCTGAAATGGGTGGGTTAGATGATGTAGCATTCGGGAGTAGGTTAACACACCGGTCTGAGAAAGTAGCTCGACTAAGTTCGGACTCGAAGGACTTCTGGGGATTCAGAGATAAGATGCTCGGCTAAGTAGCTCGGATGAGGGTTTAAGGTGTCGAGATTACAGAACAGACTGGACCCGGAGGTACCGACCTCCAAGAGCCCGACAAAGTAAGTGACCTCGATATATCGAGGTCAGGTGGTCTAAGGACAAGTTAGACCTAAAGACAAGATCAATTTCCTCAGGATAGGGTCAGATACATCCTCGGAAAGGCCACGGCAGACAGATCAGGAGGTCGGACTACTGTTTAAGGATCCATTGGCTAAATCAATAGAAGGGGGAAGAATCCAAGTAGAAAAAAAGAATCGTTCGCTCAAAGACTTTTGCTAAGATATAGGCGTGGTAAGTTAGGGAAGTAAAATCTGGTTGGATTTCTTCCCTATAAAGAACTCTCTTTGACCCAAGGTATTATTAAATTCTATAAAAGGACGACATGTACTCTATTATACACAGCACACAATTCAGACCTTATTTCTTATATTTCTACAGTATACGGTTGTTTGAGTTTTGACTTAAACGTCAGAGAGTTTTTTGTTGAGAACCTCTTTCGGCGTATTACAGGTTATTGGAAGTTCAAGAAACAGGATCAATCAAAACAGAAAGTGTTCAATCCGTTTGTGACCAAAAGTAAGATAACATATAATTTATAAGGTATAAATATTTTAGTAATAATGGTGCTTTATAGCACTTTTATAAAATAAAAAATGAAATCTAGCCATGT